CTTTTTTTTCTTTTTTCTTGTTGTCCTTTTTCTTTGCTTCTTTTTTTTTTTCCTTCTTTTTTTTCCCCTTTTTCTCCCTTTTTTTTTTCGTTACCCGCCGCTGTCTTTCATGGGCTCCTCTGTTCACGTACTTGGCGTGCCCGCAGGTGCAATCAAAGCACATCCCGCTGAGGTTCCCCTTTCCATTGATGCGGAGGGGAGGGGAGAGAATGGAAGGGAAGGAGAGGGGAGGGGAGGGAAGGGGAGGAGGGCGTCGCAAACATCAAAGCCACCACGAAAATGCGGTGGCGGTGGTTTAGCATCCAGCGGGCCGTTTGTGACCGTTGGATGGTGGGTTTGATCGTACGGACCTACTGGGCTGTTCTTGGCGTGGTGCAGTAGTATGCATGCATGCATGATTGATTGCAATCATGCATCATCCTACGGGCTCGATAAATTTCTGGCGCGCGATGTCATTGGTAGAGGAGGTGGGGAGGAGGAGTTGCGGGGTATCCCCCCAAATGTCCGAATGGGAGGAGAGATGGGAGACTGGCAGAGTGGGGGCGGTAATGATGATGATGAGGATGAGGATGATAGGGATGATGATGATGATGACGAGGAGGAGGAGGAGGAGGAGGAGGAGGAGGAGGATAGGAATGACGGTGATGAGAAGATCATTGCGATGACGTGGCTGCGGCTGGCGAGGATGCCGCTGATGATGACGTTGGTGATGAGATGGGAGACTGGCAGAGTGGGGGCGGTAATGATGATGATGAGGATGAGGATGATAGGGATGATGATGATGATGATGATGATGATGATGATGATGGGGAGGAGGAGGAGGATAGGAATTACGGTGATGAGAAGATCATTTCGATGACGTGGCTGCGGCTGTCGAGGATGCCGCTGATGATGACGTTGGTGATGATGATGATGATGAAAGAAAGGAAGAGGAGTGATGATGAAAGGAAGAAAGAAGTGATGATGGGGATGAGGAAATGGAGGAGGAAGACGAGTGGTGATGAGTGAGGGTGAGGATTGATGACGATGATGATGAAAGGGAGGAGGAAGAGGAGTGATGTCGACGACGATAACGATGATGATAACGATGATGATGATGATGATGATGATGAAGAAGAAGGAGAATGAGGGAGGAAGAGGAGTGATGATGAAAGGGAGGAAGAAGAGTGATGATGAAAGGGAGGAAGAGGAGTGATGATGAAAGGGAGGAAGAGGAGTGATGGCGACGACGACGATGGTGATGATGATGATGATGAAAGGGAGGAGGATTGATGATGATGATGATGAAAGGGAGGAGGATTGATGATGATGATGATGAAAGGGAGGAGGATTGATGATGATGATGATGAGGAAAGGTAGGAGGAACAGGAGTGATGACGAGGAGTGGATGACGGTGATGATGACGATGATGATGAAAGGGAGGAGGAAGAGGAGTGATGCCGACGACGACGGCGATGATGATGATGATGATGATGATGATGAGGAGGAGGAGGAGGAGGAATGAGAGTAGGAAGAGGAGCGATGATGGAGAGTGACGACGATGACGATGATGATGGAACGGAGCAGGAAGAGTAGTGAGGAGGAGTGAGGAGATGATGATGATGATGAAATGAAGAAGAGAATAGGTGTGAGGAGTGAGGAGCAGGATTAGAGACGGAGAAGGAGATGCTGAGTGGATGAACAGTCAGGAGCGCGTAAGAAGGGGGGGGAGAAGGGGAGAAGGGAGAGGGGGGGGGAGAGGTGGAGGAAGATGAAGGATGGTAATGGCGACGATCGCTATGGAGATGACGTCTGTTGCCGCTGATGAGGACATGATAATGATTGATGATGATCATGATGGCGGGAAATCATAATGGCGTGAAATCATGATGGCGGGAAATCATGATGGCGGGAAATCATAATGGCGGGAAACAGGGCAGATGTTGGGGAGGAAGGAGAAGCAGAGGGGTGATTAGGGAGCGAGAGGGAGCAGGAGGAGGGGCAGGGGATGGAGAAGAGAGGGAAATCATGATGGCGGGAAATAGGGCAGATGTTGGGGAGGAAGGAGAAGCAGAGGGGTGATTAGGGAGGGAGAGGGAGCAGGAGGAGGGGCAAGGGATGGAGAAGAGAGCGAAATCATGATGGCGGGAAATCATAATGGCGGGAAATCATGATGGCGGGAAACAGGGCAGATGTTGGGGAGGAAGGAGAAGGGGAGGGAAGATCGATGCCAGCCAACGAGCGGAACCTGCTGGACTGATGATCATATGGCAGGGGCTCTTATCTCTTATCCCTGCAAGGTGGAGGCCACCAGATGTGGTTCTTGAAGAAGAAAAAAAGGGGAGGGAGAGGGAACAGAAGGGGGCAAGGAACACTCTGGAGAAGGCGGAGGAGGGAGGGTCGGTCAGGAGTCTGTTTTGCATGCTTAAAAAAAAAAAAAAAAAAAAAAGAGCGGCGGCCTTGAGGTCTCATCATCGAAGTAACTGGCCGCACGTGCGTAATTCCGACGTACGTTATTTTGTTTACCCGACTGCATCTGGATTCGAACGTGGGTCTGATTCATATTTCAACAGCTCATTTGGGTGTACCCCACCTGAGCTAGGCCCTTTGGTGTTTGTGTTTTCTGTTTTGAGCATTTTTTCCCTTAGCCACTAGTAGTTGTAGTTGTGTTACCAGGGTGGACCGGGACCACTTGCCCGGCCCGGAATGGACCAGTGGGGGTCTTGGAGGGGTGGAATGGACCAGTGGGGGTCTTGTAAGGGACCAGATGGTAGGGAATCCCTCTGGGCCGAAACACTGGCCCTAACCCCCTGCACGCCTGGGCCAAACCCCCCTGGCCTGGGCTAAACCCCCCTGGCCTGGGCCAAACCCCTCGCCTGGGCTAAACCCCCCTGGCCTGGGCCAACCCCCCCTTGGGCTGAGGTCCCTGGGACGACAAGATGGTCTCTGCACGCCTGGGTCAAACCCTGTGTCAAATTGTCGTAACTGATCTCGTAATTAGCTTAATTAGGGTGATGATTAAATGAGGGCTGAAGTTCTCCTGAGTGATGTTGATGATTGAATGAGGGGTAAAGTTGTTCTGAGTTGTTCTGATTGAATTAGGGTTATCTGGTAGTCCGTCATGAGGAAGGGTATGGCCCAGAAGGCATAGCAAGCCACACGAATAACCAACCAACCAAATGGCTGACTCCCGCCGATCTTCCAGGACTGAATCCGACGGCTATGAGACTCTATGAGAGGGTCAAACTTCAGTGGAGATGCAATTGCCATGGTGAATGATCCCTCTGTTCGTCTCTGTATCTGTTCGTCTCTGTGTGTTCGTCTCTCTGTATCTGTTCGTCTCTCTGTATCTGTTCGTCTCTCTGTATCTGTTCGTCTCTCTGTATCTGTTCATCTGTGTGTGTGTGTGTCTCTGTATGTGCAGCTGCAGTCAAGTTTGCAAATCTATATTATTCTATCCTCTCCTGCTTTTTGTACCGGTCTTGGAATTGCTGATGATGATGACATAACTACTGATAGCGTAAAGGACAACATAACCACATTTCATATTTCGTCATCTGAAACGAAGCTTGTGGCATTTTTTGAATTCTGTAATCCAGGCTGTTTGAAGTCGTTCGGGCGAAATCCATGTTGCCTTCTGATTCTGAGGCACAAACGAGTTCGTGCTGACAGGGAAACATAGAGTTCCTACCTCTCCACGGTTCTCCCCTCTCCTCCTCCTCCTCGTCGTCGTCTCTCTCTCTCTCTCTCTCTCTCTCTCTCTCTCTCTCTCTCTC